AGTTGTCATCATGAGCATTGTCTCTTTCCAAACCAAACTTCGACACGGTTCTCCCTCAAGCCACAGCTGCGTTCCCACTTTGATCCAGGATGTCTAGCAGAGCAGGGAAAGGTCTCTCCTCTGTGCCATTCCCTAGAGCCAGGGTCTGATCAGGGCACCCTGCCTTGCTGAAATTCCAGGGTACAAGCCCAGTTTTATTCAGTGCCTCGTAACCATACTCTGGGGAGGAGACAGGTTTCCATCGCTAAAGTGCCATCAAGAAAAGGACTGAGTATGAGATTTACAGCCATCCAATTCCCCTTGCATGAATTCCAACTTGCAGTTGAGCCCTAGGCTTAAATCTAGTCTGGATTCAAGCAGTGTCTCCTCAAGCCATACATGACTGGCCAGAAGATGAAAGGATTGAGAGGCAGGAGGAGAATTTAGTCCTAGAACGGGTCACCTGGCTGCAGGAACTAGGCCCATTAGCCAAGGGAACTGGGCAGCCATCCCCATCTTCTCCTCAGTCTTACAGACACTGGACTGTGCTCTGCTCCACCCATGAGTGCACCTGCAAACAGCAGAGAGTACCTGAGCAGTTTGGTGCCATTCACTCGGACGCTGCTCAAGGGTGCAGCTTCTGGCTCTCCACCCCCACCTCTTCCAAAACCCCAGAAACAGGAGAGGTGACAGAGAGGAGAGACCTTTCCACAGAGCACCAGATGGGATCTGCTCTCCTTTCTTCAGCCAAAACACCTAGCGAAGAGTGGCAACGACAGAGCACAGACAGCTCAACCCGTCAGCATCACTGAGGCCAACCAAGAGTTGGCTGGGACCTGCTCTGCCTCATGGAAGGAGAGAACTGAAAGCAGAGACCCAAGAGAGTAATTTCTCCCGATTGTCTTCTCTTTTACTACGAGTGGAGCCTTGTTGCAGCTGTCAGTGCTCAACAAAGTCCTGATCATACCCCTTTCTAACTGCAAAAAAACACCACTAACCTCTTTCAACCTCGAGGGAGGTTTGAAGAGCAGCTGGCAGAGACCACTTCAATCCATCCATGTGAGGCAGGCCCCGAGGGCACACTGGGGAGCCCTTCCTCTTCCTCCCTCATCTGCACAAGGTGCTCAGCCAGGACAGCAGCACCCAACAGTCAGACCTTGTGGGCTGCGTCTCGTGCCTACACAACTCAGCCCTGCCTGAACAGGGGCAAGCTGCACCACTAAGAGACTTATTTCCCAAACTGAACTAGTGCTTTGCACCACGGCAGCTACAGCTGGCAATAGATGGCCAAAAGCCTCAGGTGCAGAAGAGAAGGATTTGGGAAATACACAGTGCTGGCTTGATGAAGGGCTGCATCCTTCCCCTGCACTCTTCCCCTTCCTGCCCAGTCTATTTTTCTCCCCCAGGGGAGCAAAGGCTACGTGCTTCTCTTCTAGAAGTACTGGTGACCCACCAGGTGTGATCAAGTACAGCCACCCCCTGAACAGATGTATTTGCCAAACAGATTTACTATCCTCCTCCCTTGGTGAGCAGTCCCTCTTTTTTTTAAGCCTGAAGTAACCAGAAGCAGGAAGTTGCATCACTCGGTAAAGGTCACATTCCTTCCCCTTTTAGTCCAGATTTAGCACCAGTTTGAAGCCACAAGACTCAAGTGAGTACTAGGCAAGACAACCACGACTTCTGGAGTGATGCAGGTTAGAGCAGAAGTGGGTTTTTCATTAAATAACCCAATCTACTCCATGCCTGTCTTCTCCTGTCCAAATTCCTATAGCTCTTCCTGGAAAAGGCAAGTAATTCTTACCTTTGCACCTCTAAGATTAGGGGTCCCTAAATTAAGACTCGTGGACTACTGATAAACACAAATAGCCTCAAGGGGGTCTGGGGGACCCACTTGCATTTTTGGGATGTTGCTTACAAGCTGCTTCACATGGGAACCAGTGAGTCCATGGGAAAACTGGAAAAGTGACAGGGCTAAAAGCAAAGACTAAGCCTATCCCAGCTTTGGCAACACATCTTAGGACTAACTACCCACTCAGCAGCCCTAATTTTCCAAATCAGTAAGCAGAAGTGGTTGCGGGATGTCCAGCTTCAGGCATCCAAGACTGAAGAGGTGAGCATCCCAACGTGAGAGCCCCTGTTCCCCCCGGAGCGCTCATGGAAAGCGAGATGGAGGCAGAGGAGAGTGGACTCATTAATCCGTTATGAGGAGGGAAGGGGGAGGGAGGTGGGGAGGGAGGTGGAACAGGCAGTCAACTGCAGCTCAGACACAAACCCTCCCCCAGAAATTGAGACCCAAAAGCAAAAAAACCCCAATGCATTAGCAGATGTTACCAGTGGTACCACTACTTCTAAGAAACAGCGTGTCCTTACCAAAAAGATTTGCAAGAATGTTTGTGGCCGAGGACCTAAGGTACTTGCTACAGAGATGTGAGATCAGAGGTCAGCTCAATCCTGCAACATAAAGGTGGCAAACCTGGGTCACAGCAGAGCAGCAGCATGGTTGGGGGTGCATGGAGTCGGGGAGAGGGATGGGACTGCTGAGGGGGAAGGATGCAGGACTGGGCTGAGCCGTTGTGCTCAGCTTTCCTGGGAGCTTACCTGGCAGCAGCCCTGCCCCCTTACACCACCTGCGAGGCCTGAAATGAAAAGCTGCTGATGGCGCAGTGAAGAGTTGGAGGGAGGAAAAAAATAAGCCGGCAACAAAGCAAGACAACAAAAGTTCACAAAGCTGCCTTAAAGGAATGAACAACACAAATATGGAAGAGAAGAAAATAAAGGAGCAGTAGGAAATACACGTCTGCCAATGGCCCTCCGTGTGGAAGGCTGCTGGGAGCCTCCAAGGGACTGTCCGTCAGTTCTAGGTGCACTGTCCTGCCCTGGGACCGCTCCAGACAGACGTGAGCAGCGATGCCTGGGAGGTCCCACGTGCCCAGGAAAGGTCCATCACCCCCAGAGCCTGTTCTACAGTCCTGAGCACAGAACCCCCCTCCCACTGCTGTCCGTAGGCAATGTCCCCTCAGTGTCCCCATGTGACAGCAGGAGCATTTGCTGCCACAGAGGACCCAGCCCAAGGCCCTACAGGACTCCTGGCCCAGAAAATCTGAACAGCGATTGCTCAGCTGGTTTGGATGGAGCTGCTGGTGCAAAGGGTTTGAATTTGACTGCTACAGGTAGATTTTTACATTGGTGCTTCGCAGAATCCTGAAAAGCAATTCCCACTGAGCCCCACAGGTTTCTCTCACTTTCACTCAGTTCATTCCATCACCAACCTCCCTAAGTGAAAAATACAGTGACACTAACCAACCTGCTTAGCATTTTACAGGTTGGGGGCTTCAGGCACAATAAAGAGATAACAAAAGGAAGAAAGCAAACAAACAACATTTTTCCTGATGCCACCAATGCAGAATCAACCCCATGCCTGAGGAAACCAGAGCTCACTTCTGTTGTTGACCCCAGAGCCCTTGCAAATCTTTGCTCCTGGCAGTGCTATAAGGCAGGAGAAGCCCCAGATCTGAGGACAACTGGGAGTCCAGAACCCAGGGGAGAAAGGGAGGACAATTCTTGTTGGGAAAGTCGTGGTTTAGTACGGAAAGAATGGCTGCAGGCTTGGATAGTGAAGGCAGCCTGCACAGAGCCCCACGCACCACCTGAATCTTTCCCAAGACCAGAGTGAGTGTGTGCCAGTGCCAGCCCTCGGGTGGGTCTCTGGATTTACGCTGCCTGCCACATTGCCCTGCTCACACCACAGAGACAAACCTCAGCCAGCCCAGCTGCTGGCAACACAGAGATGCTGCCCTGGGTCCCCAAAGCAAGGCTGGCCAGCAGGAGCATGCCTGACCCAGGGGTGAGGTGTGATCCCTCCATCCTTGCCTTCCCTGCTGCGCTCAAGTTTCCCCACTTGGTCCGTGTCAGGCCTTTACACTATGCCAGTTGTGGTGGTACTTAGACCACTGCATCACAGGCAAGGGGTGACAAATTCCCCCAAATTGTTCTAGGAGGTGCACACCACTGGGTGGAGAATTGGGTCCCACAGCCCTTGGGACAGCAATGGAGAGAACAACATCTCCCAGGCTTGTTGAGCCATCACTGGGAAACCAGTTCCCTGCAGCTCGCCCAAGAGGGAAGGGGTACGAGCTGCACACATCTGCTAGGGAGCAGCGTGCCACAGAGCCTGCTTGTAGGGCAAAGCCCTTAGCTGGGGGGTTTCACATCTCTGGTTTCGTGTGGGCTCTGTGCACCCATGGGCCGAAGGACTCCTTCCACACGTGGGCAGAGACTTCACACTGACAGCACAGACTGGATTTGGATAGGGCTTTGCAGCTCAAGGTGCAAGGTTGGGTTGATTTTCCTTGTACAGGCTGGGAAATCTTGAGCCAGAAAACTTGTTTTCTGTCACAGGACAGGCTCTTCCTTTCCTCCTGCAGGGCTGAGACTCAGGAGGAAAGTTTAGCAAAAAGTGCAAGATGGACAATTCTCTGTCTCTGCCAGGCCCACCACATGGCAAATCCCCACCACTTACAGCTGAGGACCCAGCCCTGAGTACAGACATCTCCAGTCTCAGCCCCATCGCAGTGAACTCTAAAGCTCCACACTCATTCACTTTGCTCCAGTATTTCTGAGCTCTGCCCGTGTCCTCAGTTTGAGGCCATCCACAGGTAGAGGGAGGGGAAGTAGCTAGAAATCAGGTCCTCAACAGATGTAAATCAACATGGTGCTAACGGGATCAGGGGCACTTACAGCAGCTTGCATCAGCTGGAAAATTTGGTCTAAGCATCCAGAGAAGGAGCTTGAACAGCCTTAAAGATATTTAGGGCCACAGTGTCTCCTTCTTCTGAATCAGCATGACTTTATTTGTTCTCATGTCTTCCTGGGTGGGAGCTGTCTGGACCATGGTGCAACGAGATGTTGAACCCAAGGCTGCCAAGGTAGTATGGGGAGAGAGGTCTGAACGCACCCAGCTTGCTTCAAGAGGATGCCAACCAGATGACCTTGGGCAAGAAGAAGAAGGAAACTCAACTTACCTTTGTTCTTCCTCGAGTTCCTCTTTGGTCATCATTGACTTGTACTGGTTTCCCCTCAGCTTTCCAGGACTATATTTAAAAGAGAATGTCTCATCTGCAGCTGGAGAGTGGGAGAGGGAGAGACAAAGAAGAGCAAGAGATTACGTGAACCAGAGACCTCCACAGAGCAACGATCAACAGCAGCGGGCTTGTTCCCTTGAGATGCTCACCGACCCCTGCTCCTGCACACAGCCCAAACACTACGGCCACCCCAAAACACTCTTCCTCAGTCAGCTCCAGCCTCCAGAAAGCCTGGGCAGTGTCAGAAAAGCTGTGTGGATTGCAGCAGAGAACCAAGGTGTTGCTGGCTAGAGGACAGCAGGAGTCCTGGCTGCAGCTAGCACTGGAAACAGCGAGGACTGCTGCGAGCGAGCGGCCCTGCTTGGAAGCAGATGCAAGTAAATCCTAGAGCGCAGGAACCATATGCTATTGCTCTGCCTGGATTCAAAGCCTTGCAGGCCCATCTTGGCTTATCAAGACATGCTAATCCTGCCCTGATTAGCTCGCAGCATTTTCCACTTCTCTCCAGACTTGCATTCTTCCTCCCTCCCTCTCCTCATCCAGGGGCCCTTTCCCATGCTTGGGGCTCACAGATGGTGCCACGAGCAGAGCTGTCCCAGGCCACGCAGCCCAGCAGCTCTCCTGCAGCCCTTCATGAAGCTCGTGGGAAAAAAAAGAGATGCCACACTGCAAATCCTGGGGCTGCAAAGAGCTGAGCCGACCACCAGCACAGCTGGGCCCACGTCCCTCTGTCACCAGACGACAGACCTGAGGAGGAAACTGAGGTCTCCTTCTCCCGGCCGGGGCGCTCTCCCACCCGGCTCGCCAGCCTCAGCCCTGTGCTAATTAGAGCACCGAAGCTCACAGACTCTGAGCCAAAGCCGATCCTTTTCCAATCGGATTTTGTTCGAGCACTATTTGCTTTTAAAAACCTCTCCCCTGCTTTATCTTCCTACAGATGGGAGAAGACAACAGGAGTGGAGGTCAATCCAAAGGACAGCCCAGGAAGAGCGACTGCTTCGGGTAGTTGCCTTTATTGGTTATCTGTGGGCTGTTATCTGCGAGCCTTTATCTCCCAAGGACTGCAGGACTCAGCTGCTTCACGTCAAGCCATCAAGCATTGCTGTTTCCACATCCACCCAGAAACATCTGCTGCTTTCACCGACCCTCGGAGCCCTGGGGAAGTTTCCAAGGGGTCCACAAAAGGAAGATGTTATTGTATTATCTGCACGGCCCTGGAAAATTGCACGTTATCCACAAACCAAATATCCAGGATGACACCTCCCAGAACCAGCAAGTCGCCCAAAGTGGTGAAACTCCCCTGATTTCTGTGGCAGGAGAGAAAGCCTCAACTTGTACAGGACCCATAGACCCATCCCCTGTCCCCAGCCACCTAGGAAGCCCCTTCCAATCCTCACCGCTGCTATTGCGGGCACCACACTCATGAAAGTCTCTCCTTCTCCACCTGCCCTGATGGAAAACACCCCATGGCCCCACTCTTCCCTTCCTCACACCCAGAAGGATTCAGCACCGGCAGCTTCCCTCTATGTTTTCTGATCAATGCTGCCCTTAAGGATTTTCTCCCTGTGTCCAAGGTCAGCTGCCTGCTTTAGCAATTTCTCCAACCCCAAGCTCACGCACGCAGTCAGCTGCTGCCAGAGCTCTCGCAGACCATGGGGACCCCCACGCAAAAGGCAAGTCATTTTCACTCATTTCACCTCATTTTGTAGATGGGGAAACATGAGATCTCAAAACCAAGCTGTGCAAGGCTGGGCGGGCAGGTACGGGACCACGGGTGCCGACTGCTGCAGGGTCACTGCCGCTGGCCTACGGAGTGTGCCTGGAGCGATGGTGGCAGGCTGGGAGTGGAAGAAAAGCCTCCTCCCTGCAAATATCCACATTTCCTCCCTTCTTCTCTGTATCTCTGCATCCCTGATGTTGGGAGCTTCCCTGCGAAGTCCTGGTGGGTTACTGCTCAGATAGTGATGCAGAGTGTTTCTCTAATCCCCAAACACCATTGGGGCTCCTGGGGGAACAAGGAGGCAAACCCTTTCCCTAGCATCTTCACAAGTGTCCAAACACAAGCACCCCAATTCTCTGGTCCTGCAGCTCCAAACATACAGCTTGGCCATATCCCATCCTCTTGTTGGGAAAACCCTCCGAATGGGCAGACAAACAAGTCTGGCCAGCTGGAAACAAGCAGTAATGCTGCAGTTTATCAGTCCTTCAGGTGGCTATAAAAGTGTACAGAAAGAAAATTCAGCGGGCTGCTGCTTTGGGAGATATTAAAAGAAAAAAAAAAAAAAGAGGGTGTAACATCCTGTTTCTTACCCTGATGCAGAGCAGGAGCTGTTTCATTACCTTTGTATAGCTTGCCTGATTTCAAGGACAATTAAGATCATTTCCCTCATGTGGTTTTCTGCCAAGTCAATTGAGATTTAGGATTTTGCCCGTCCCAAAAAAGGGCAGTTTAATTGCCACCCCACCAGAAAAGAATAAGGGAAGAGGGTGCTGAGAAAGATACCCATCTCCCTGCCCACACGTTGTGGTTAAAAAGGAGCCAGTGTGCAGCTTTGGAAACCACTGGCTGCTTTCTGAGCTCTTTGCAGACTGAAAACAAACTTCAGGAAACACACAGAAAAGGGGAGGCTGGGTTTTCACGTAGACAGCAGAGCCACTACAGAAATATGAGGTGACCTACTTACTCAGAGCCTCCGTGAGTTCATATTAAAGAAAACATTTGTCTTTCATCTCTCTGCCCTCGCGTTGCCAACGCCGTGACCCTGGACTGGCGGGGTGAGAGCAGCCCCGAGAGCGCCCCTCGCCCCTGAACGTGCTCGCTCTGGTGTGCTCCACACGCGCTCCCTGCCAGCCCCCTGCCAGCCTTGCTGCCCGAAGTGGGGAGAAGGCAGCTCTAACGGTTTTGGCCACTGCGGCAGCATCCCGGGCCGGTGACAGACTGCCTGGAGGATCCCCACGTGCCCAAGGGGAATCTCTGCTCGTGGGCTTGCCGGGCAGCAGCTCAGCGGAGTTGGGCCAGGACCAAGCGACGTGCAGGACAGGCAGTGAAGGAAGGAGCGGGGTTGCTCCCCAGTGAAGCCAGGGCACTGCCGTTATTCCCAGCAGCACACCCCTTGCCGCCTCCTCATCAGGCTGAGCCATCACTTGACCCAGTCCTGTCCTAAAACACTTCAGAAATGGTGCAAATAATTCAGGAGAGGAGTCGGTGGCTGTCTGCAGGAGGTGCTTAGGGGGGATGCTGGGCTAGCCACAACTCACAGCCAGGGACCGTCATCTCCTTCTGATCCCAAGCCACAGCCACTTTGGGGTGATGCACAGCGGGAGCAGCCCTGAAGCAGCTGAACTGAAGGAGGCAGACCCTGGCTGAGCAGCGTTACGGAGCACCCATTTGGCAGGATACGTCCATCACTCCTCAAACCAGATCTCCCGCAGTCCTGCATGGTAACATCCCTGATCACCAGTGCTGCGAGGAAGCCTAACAGGGAGGAATAAGTGTCTTTGGGGAACCCCGTCTCCAAAGGCGCTTCCCCCACCTTGTGGCCATGGCACCAGGATTAAAATGTGATTCTCTGTGGTATTAGGCATAATCCTCCCGAGCCAGGGGATTGCCACACAGCGCCTTTAAAAGGGCATGCAGAAGGTGGGGCAGGGAAGGGGGAACACCCCAACTCTCCTGCTGCCCCAAGACCCCCCTGACAGGGACTCTTGGGGACATCCCAGTGTCTCCGGGGCTGCTCAGGAGAGCAGAGTCCCCTTCAGACACACACTCTTGCTTGGCACCATCTGTTCCATTTTCTTACGAGCGTGGCAGTTGTCACCCCAATTAGTCAATTAATTATTTTCCAATCAACTAATTGGCTAATCAGTTAAACATGGCTCTGACTAAAGCCCCTGGAGATCGTCCTGGATGCAAGCAAGGAGCTTTTGGGGCAGCTTCATTGCAAAGCTACCCCATAGCAAACAGCTCAAGGGCATCTGGGAAAGCAAAGAGGGGCTGTTGCCACGTAGGAAATTCCTCTGCCTTTCCTGGAGGAAGGACACCAGCCCCAAGCACCTGGGGCTTCAGCCCCTTCGACCCGTCCATGCCCTCCCTGCAGGGTGCTGGCTTGCTTGGCACTCACCATCCTCATCTTCCGGCTCTCTCACCACCAGCTTCTCATTTTCTGAGTCCAGATCTTCCTCCTGGAGGAGTTAAAAAACAGAGCAGCCATGAAGAGAAGGTGCTGTGCTAAATACCCCGTGCTCGGTCAGGACACCAGAGCCCACACGGCAGGGAGGCAGAGACCGGAGCTCCTATGGCAAGGGCTGGGTACCCCCCTTCCCTGCCTCCTTCACGGGATAGGGCAAAAAAAACTCGCTAATGAGCAAGGTTCATTAGTCTGCTTTCTTCTCACTAGTGGGGGCAAGGGGGGAATTTGGCCTTGCATACTGCAGTCCCACCCAAAGGCTGCAAACTGCAAGTGTCTCCCCATAATCGAGGGGATATTAAGGTTTTTAAGAAGAACCTGCTATCCCGGTGTCCCCAGGCACAGCCTGGAGCCTGAGCACCCCCTACACTCCCCACCCTGCCCAGGGACGGGCAGGGGGACTGAGCCACAAACCACAGGGACTCCTGTATGCCCCCAGGCCAGGCTGGGACAGGCCATGCCAGCACTAGGAAAAGGTGGGTCCCCAAAAGCCATCAGCCACAGGCCAAGTGGCTGCTCCAAAGCACAGGAGCACTCACCAGCCAGGACCAGTGGTTGAAGCCAGTGCTGGGGCGTTTGTGCTGGGACCCCACCAGGAGCCCTCCCAGCCTCGCCTGGCAGCAACCCCCAGAGACATCACTGGGTCCTGCCCACGTTCCCCGGGCCCCTCGCTCCGTGCGCTGCGGTGGCACAGCTGATCTCTGGAGCACAGACAGGAGCAGCAGCAGCACGTTGGGGTTTGGGTTTGTTTATTTTTTTTTTTTCTCCTTTTAAACGCAAAGCAATTTTGGAAGTTTTGGGGGTTGCCTCCTACAAGCTACCACAAGCTTTATCAAGCCCAGATTCCTTCCCCTTGCAGCATATCATGCAAACTGCAAGCAGGGAGGAAGAGGAGCGCTCCCGCTCCGGAGATAAGACAGGGACACATGGCAATGCCCCCATGTGCGTACAGACGTGCCTTCCTGCTGCAAACCCCAGCACCCAGGCTGCAAACCCCAGCACCCAGGCTGCAAACCCCGGAGGTCAACAGCACCCAGGAGCACACCCCCTCCTGCGCCCTCCCTGCCCCCGTGCCTCCCATTCGAAGTAACGGGGCCGTGGGAGAGAGGGGAAGGAGCACGGAGGGAGCCCAGTGAGCCACCACACTACCGAGGGGGACACAGGAGAAGTCGGGGTGAAGGAGACCCGAGGGAAACCAAGACGATCCGAGAAGGACCCCGAGCCGAGCGTCGGCTTTGCAGCACACGGCTTTCGGTGGCCTGCTGGAGCGCGGCACGCGGCCCTGACCTAGAACTCGGTTCCTTTGTCATCAGTGAGGAATGCACATTATTCACAGCCATTTGGCTTCTCCTCGCCACCCTCCTCTTCGGCTCCCCAGAAGGACACGCTGCCGAGACCT